AAGCAGCCTGAGATGGCCTGAGAGCAGGGAGGGGGTGGCACAGAGGGGACCCCAGCCCCAGGACTGCTAGTTCTCGCCCAATCGGAGGAGGGCCAGGAGGCCAGGGAGCCCTGCTGAATCTTCCCTGTCCCCTCACAGGTCCAGGTCCTCCTCTACTACCTGCAGCACCCCCCCATTTCCTTCGCAGAACTGAAGCGGAACACACTGTACTTCTCCACCGACGTGTAGCCCAAGGTGGGAGCCGCTGCCGCGGGGGGCGGCCCAGGCCAGCCTCTCTGGCCAGGGGACCCAACACAGACTTGAAAGACTCCAATAGAAAACTCCCACACCCAACACTCTATAGACTCCAAGGGACGCAGATTTCCAAGAACTGGAATACTTGCATCTTCCGTGCCACCTTGTACAAAGCCAGCTGCCCCAGCCCCCAGCCTCACCGCCGCACGCCCGCGCCCTGGGCCCTGCCCCACCGCCTGGAGTCCTGGGCTCTGCCCTCTGTCCCTCTAGTTGTGTCTCCCGCCCCGAGCCATTGGGGGATTGTTTCCTGTCTATTTGTCATGCAGAAATGGTCGTGACCGACCCAGTATGGGCATTCGGACTGCCTGCTTTGTTCTTTCATTTCCTCCAGCACTTTCTTCCCCCCCCCCCCACCCCCGCCACCAGTCCAGTCCAAGGGTTTTTATTTTGCGCTGTGTAACTCCGGCCAGCTTATCCTCTCCTGGCCCTGCTCCCAGATTGCAGTCTCCGGGCAGCGTCCCCTCGGTTTGCCTCCACCCTCCCCTTCCTCCCGGCCTGCCCACATGCATGTGCAGCCTTGGTTTTCACTCCATCACTCTGAAACTTGAGGCGGCCCTGGGCAGTGGTGGCAGCAGTGGTCCGTCCAAGACTGTGCTTGCTGCCTCCCCTCCCGGGCCTCCCCCCACCCCCAACCCCGTCCTCCGCCTGTGGAAGCACACCTGCTTGGCCTTGCTGCCTGTGCAAATGTTGGACAGGGAGACAGCAGCACACGAGTCCTCAGCTTAGCACAGAGCTAGAGAGCCGATCTCTGCAATTTCCACCTGACAGTCTCCATTTCTGGGGTTTATCTGTTCGATCTCCCGCCTCCTAGTGAGGCATCTTTGACTGTTTCTTCTGCTTTTCAGTTCCTTCTCCCCTGGTGTTCTATTTCCTTTGAGTGGCAAGACTTACAAGTGACCTGATATCAAGAGAGCCAGAGGGTCAGGAATCAGGGGAGGCAGGAGAGTCGGGCCACTGAGCAAACGGGACAGGTGGAACATTCCAAGGAGTGCCACGGAGCACTGGGGGCCCGGATTTGGGGGGGAAGCGGCTCTCAGCAGCAAAACATTATAGTGGCTTTGTTAGGGGAGCCAGGTCTCTTGGATGGCAGCGAATATGGCTGAAGCAGGTGTCCAGAAACAGGCAGCCTCCGTCTAGGAGGCAGCCCTTCCTGGCACCTCGCCTGCCCTGCGGTGCCTTTGCCTTAGACTGTACAGTCCTCCGCAGCCACGCACTGCCACAGGGCGGCCCCCACGGCCATGTGTGCTCTGGGGCCTGGCAGAGACCGGCACCGTCCCCAGTAGCCAGCCCCCATGGTGCTGCCTCCCCACCCGCAGCTTCCAGATGCGGCCTTTGGGGGAGCTCTAGGAAACTCTAGACGTTGGGGAGTCATAGGCACCTGCCTCTCTTAGGGGCTGGGTTTTGTTAGGGATGTTCATTGTCTACACTCTGCTCTGGAGTAGAGGATCGGCAGATTCTAGTCCCAGTGCTGAGCCCCACTTCTCCGTACCGGAACGGAATGAGAAGGATCCTCCCAGTGCAGTTTCCTCCCATCTGAGCAGTAGCTGCCAGCACAGGGCAGTTGGCCCGGGAGAACAAATGCTCCCGGATGGCGGGGGCTTGGGCACATGGCTTTCTGGCTCTCCTAGGTGGCAGAGAGCAGACTCTAGGCCCTCAGAATTGGAGAGAACAGCTCCTTTAGCTTGTGCTCAGGGCTATGTTTTAAAGAATGGTTTGCTGGCCCTGAAGCCATAGCATTGGCTCATGAGACACGGGGTCCTTTCTTGTGTTTACACCTGTGGCCCAGTCTTGGGCAGAACGGTACACATTCTGTGCACATCAGAGGAAAGAAATGCCTAAGAGGAGGGAAATGATCCTGATTATGCAGCTGCCTGTGAGCGGCTTACCAAGGAGCCCCACGCCCTGGGACAGGAGGTGGAGAAAGAACACCACTTGGGTCAAACATTCCAGCGTGTGATCCTCCCTGGAGTCTGTGCCCAGCACTCAGGAGTTGGTATGTGGCATCTTGCTTCCAGAGCCATTGATGGGAGTGACCTGAAGGCCCAGCTACAGCTAGTTATAGCCCCAAATGGGTGCCTCCCACCTCCCCCAAATGAGGGGCTTGCTTCTCGGAATCAGGTAGCTACCACAGCCCCCAAGCTTGCTTAGGGAGGAAGGCTGGAGGGGCTGAGAAATGCAAAAGGCTCAGAATATTTATAAATTCCACCCCCAGGGTGGGGAAGGGCAGGTACCAGACAAGGACTAAGCTGCACCAAGGAAGGAGCCCATCCATGGGTTCTCCCAAGAGTCAGGGACTGTGCAGCCCAGCACCCCTGGCCCTTGTGCCCAGCAGGGCAGGCTGTGCCAACAGGAGCCCAGCAGACAGGCCACGGGAGTGCCGGGATGCCTGTCCTTGCTGGCAATGGCTGTGGGCTGCCAGTTTTTGCTGATACAGGTAGGATGGGAACCTTTATTAATATGAGTTTAATAAGTTGGTAAGGATATATTTTTTTTGTCTATGTTCTGTTTCAATTTATGTAGATTATTATAAATTGATGTAAACCACGTGAGAGGAAAATGTTAATAAAAAAAAAAAATGCAAAGCCCCAACATTTGCACACAACTCAGCCCTGTGGTGTGGACATTTGTATACTCAGTAGTCCAGGGAAGACACCAATCTAAATATTTAACTCTTCCAGCTGCATCCACATGTGTTTCCAGGAATCTGTGCACCTAGTTAACTTCCCCTGAGCTTCCCCTTCACCCTGTGGGGACTGTGGCAGTTTGCGGGGTGGTGAGCCCCCTCCTTGTGGTTCACAGTGGCCTCCGAGTCAGGCACCAGCCAGATTTCCTTTCATGAAGGACAAAGGTCCCACCAAGACCTGGCCGTCAGTATCCCTTCGAGAGATGGCAGAAAGTGCTCAAAGTGGAGGCTTCTTATTTTATGCAAACTCTTCCCTACATTTTTCTTGGAAGTGGGCGTCTTTGGGGCAGCCTTTTGGCCTAGCCTGACAGTTGGAGAGGCTGGATCCCCTAGGGGGCACAGCCTCCCTTCAGGAGAGTCGGTGGGGTTAATACAGGTTCCCACCAGTCTAAGCCATTGGACACTATGTTTATTCTGGAGATCAGGACCAGATGTCTCTGAAAATTGGTGTTTGGTTTATGAGCTCATACTGACTCCTTAGCCATCTAAAACAGGAAACTATTCATCTCCTTTCTTGATTGAACAGCCAGTGTGGACAATGCTTGGCTTACTGAAGAGATGGCTACGGATAGCCCCAGGGCTCATCAGCTCTAAGGCAGTCATACAGGCAGCATTCCTGGTACTCGCTGGGCATATTCAACCCTCCTTGCTAGGCTGCCTGGTGGAAGATGCCAGGCATCCAGGTACTTTGACAGCTGCCAGGCAGGAGCATCTACCCATGCTCTCAAGGTGCTTACAGGTGACTTATTTAGGGACAGTATAGGAAACACTCCTAGCTTTGTTCCCAGACCTCTGAGGATACTCCAGCTGGGCTGGGAGCAACGAAGCCTCATACCTAGGAGACTGGGCTGGATATTACTTAGAATTCACCACAGAAGGATGTAAACCCCGAGCGAGCTTAGCTCACATTCATTGCAGAGGAGGTGGCAGACGTGGCCAGAGGAAGGTGTGACCCGCTGACTTTGACATTCTCAGTCACATACATACACACCTGGGACATCTGAACGTCTCAGCCACCTCTGAATTCTGGTTAAGGGGGCATAAGCTAGAAGACCGCAGAAAAAGGGGGAGAAAGCAAAAAATGGTGAAGGAGTCAGCATACAGCAGAGAACAGGAGCCATCACTGCTCGCTGCAGGCTGCTGGAATCATGCAGCCCCACAAGCCTGTCCTCTGGCCCCAAGAGAGAGCCTGAGCTCATTCCCTTCGTGTCCTTACCACAGGACCAGAATGAACAAGTGCTCACAGCAGATCCCAACCATTAAAGCCTATTTTTTTGCGCTGGGGCATACAATTAGGCTGAGCTTCTGTTGTCAGAAAAAGGCCCCTAGTTCAAATAAAAAAAACACTAATATGTTAAAAAATACAAAAATCCTGATACCACAGACCAAGGATAGTGGAGAACGCCCCCTCACCACTGTCTGATCTTCACCAGCTGCTGCTCAGGCACCCACCAGGAGCACCACAGCAGAACTCCGCACGCCGTGTCCTTGAGCTGGGCCTGGTCCAGCGGTCAGAGCCTAAAACCAGTGTGGCCAGGACCGCAGGCATTCCCATCAGCCAGCCCACAGCAGGGTTTTTAGAAGAGGTAAGGGCCTATGCATGGGATTTCAACGTATCCCAGGACATGGACCAGCGGGGCTGCGAGCAAGGCAGGCCCTGGCTGAAGGAGCAGTGTCAGAGGAATGCTGCTCTGCACACCCCGAGAATTGGACATTCCCACACTTCGCAGGAGCTTTCTCACTCTCCCTCCAGATGTCCAGTCTCTGGGCCACCTGGCACCACTTTTGGGACTCGTGGAATCTGAAAATAAAAATCAACCAACCCTTTACTGATTCATTTATTTTATGGTATTAACGGCCTTTATTGTTCATAATGGGAAGTGGAAGAGGGGGGACAGGACCTCTGGCTCCTGGGGCGGCTCTAAACACTTACTCTGTCCCTGTTCCCTTCCCCCGCCAAAACTAACCAACCTTTTAAACTGTCATGTAATTTTTTTAAACAAAGACAGACCACAAAATGACATAATGGGTCAGGTGGTGTACATTTACTCTGCCCTGCCCTGTGACATGGCTGACCGCGCGGAGTTCCAAAGTAGACGAGCCTGCTGGGACGAGTTCAGTCCCCTCTGGTCCCACCGCCCCGAGCCGCCTGCAGGCCAGCTATGGGTAGGACGGAACCTTTGGGGAGCTTAATTTCCACCAGTCAGCACACTGCTGATCTGCCTCAGAGAGAGGCTGGCGCGGCATATTGTCCACCCCGGGAACAGAGCATGTGGCTCCTTGGAGGCGGAGGCAGGCGGCAGCCACGTGGCTCCCTCATGACACCAGCGGTCTGAGGGGAAAAGTCTGCAGTCTCTGAAGCGAGTGCCCTGCAGTGGACAGAGCGCGGCCCCCACGGAGCAGCTCCGATGCTGGGCTGGCAGTGTCCTTCCCTGGAGGCAGGCTCTCTCACCGGAGGTAATAGTCAATGGCAGCAGAGAAAGCAGCGAAACCGCCACACCCGAGGAGCCCGGCCTTTAAGCCCGCTGTGAAGTAAACAGAAATGACGTTACCTGCGGGGACAGACACCGAGCCAGGCTGCCTTCAGAAGTCTGCCTGGCCACGGCGACAGGGACGCCTGTGTCAAGCTTCTAAGTTAGTCAGCCGAGCCACGGGATGTGTAAGACTTCAGGAAGCCATGTCCACAGTCTATACCAGTGGGCTTCATCTAGCCGTACATTCAACTTTTCTCATTCCAAAAGATGACGATTTCCAGTTTCACGAAATAGCCCCTCACAGGCAGGAAACTGGTTAAGAGAACCAGCCCTTGGAAGCAAGTGAAAGCATATGACCTGTTAACCCTGATTTGTTTATGAAATAAATTCCTGGGAAGGTGATCAAAGCAATCCTGGAGGGAGCTGAGCTTCTCAATGTCCCTGACAGAGCTGAGCGATGGGAAGACCAGAGGAAAAGTTACTCTATAAATCACAAGTGCCTGTCCGAGGAGAAGCAGCTTTTAATGACAGCAAATCATCCTGTCTCTCTGAGGAGAAAACAGGCTCTTTGCTTTGGGTAAATAAGGGCCCGGCAGAGGGAGAGTGTCCCAGCAACGGCCACCAGGAGGAGAGTCAGGTCACTGACACCCCACGTTGCACTCCATTTTTTTTTTTTTAATTTTTATTTATTTATTTGAGAGAAGGAAAGAAAGCACAAGCAGGGAGAGAGGCAGGGGGAGAAGCAGGCTCCCCACGGAGCAGGGAGCCTGACGTGGAGCTAAATCCCAGGACCCCGGAATCACGACCTGAGCCAAAGGCAGACACACTCAACCGACTGAGCCACCCAGGTGCCCCCCTCCAAACCACACTCCTGATGGGCACGCTGACAGAAGTGCAGAGAACTGTTTTCTTTGTTGTTTACTGCTGATAACCGGACACTTCCAGAATACTCCTATCGGGCTTTCAGGGGGTCGAAGTCTAAGAATCCTTAACTGCAGAAAGACATTACCACAGAACTTATACTGACAATTGTATAGTATTTAAAAGAAAAAAATGCCGGAACTACTTGAAATGCGCGGACCTGAGAGTTCAGCAGCGCCTGCCATTTGGATCAGTGGGCTCTCCGGGGCTGAACGAGACCTAGCCGTGCTTCTGTCCTAACCTACAGATCAATACACTTCTGGAATTCCTTACTGGGAGGAAGCTCTTCCCACCATTTCAATGTGAGGGCAATTCTTTTTTCTAAATCTAGATCTTTCTGTGGTTCTCAGCCATGGGTGATTCCATCCCCTGGGGGAACTTGCCAGTGTCTAGAGACCCTTTCAATTGTCGCAACGAAGGGATGCCATCAGCTTCTAGTGGGTAAGCGGCCAGGGATACTGCTGAACATGCCACAATGCACAGGAAAGCCCCACTATCCCTCCAGCAAAGATTTATGTGGTCCACGATGCCAACGATGCCAACGATGAAAAACCCCGATCTAAATACTAGAAGTTTCCAAAATTAAGTTAATGTGGAAGTAAAAGTGATTTCTTTAGAAGAGCATCAAGTGTCCACATATGCCTTGGGCTGTCCCTGGAACACTCCTGTGTTTGGAAACGTCAACTACGGCACGCTGTCCAAGGCCACAAAGAAAACCGTGCGAGAGTTGTTTACTAACCTCTGAAACCAACGGCTCCTCCGGTGATGCAGCCACTAAGGACACTGTTCTTCCAATCTGATCTTCCCCGGTACTGTGGGCAGAGAAGTGCAGTTTAGAGCCAAAGAAACAAGCCACACAAGATGATGAAGGGAAAAAAAGCACAGGGTTTCTAGCTGGCTAATTCAGTCCCTCTCCAAAGGAAACCTGATCCTTTTTGCTTTCCAAAATATAGTTCCTAAAATTTGCATGTGTTCATGGGTGCTTCCTGCAGGTGGTACCAGAGAGCTGAAACCAAGTGTGCCACTGAGAAGTAATCCACATCTCTTCTCTGGTCCCCCAATAAGTCTCAAGGTCAAAATCACTCACCAACTTGGAACAGACACATGAAAACATGCTGAACGTCACTCAGCACCAGGGAAGCGCAAATCAAAACTAAATGAGCCACCGCCTCACGCCTGTCAGAATGGCTAAAAACACAATAAACAACAGGTGTCAGCGAGGACATGGAGAAAGAGGAACCCCACTGCACTGCTGGTAGGAATATGAACTGGTACAATCACTCTGGAAGACAGTATGGAGGTTCCTCAGAAAGTTAAAAATAGAATTCCTGGGGCACCTGGCTGGTTCAGTCGTAGAGTGTGTGTCTCTTGAGCTCAGGGTTAGGAGTTTGAGCCCCATGTTGGGTACAGCAATTACTTAAAAATAAAATCTTTAAAAAAAAAAAAAAATAGAACTCTACCATACAATCCAGCAATCAAATTGCGAGGTATTTACCCAAAGAAAACAAATATACCAATTCAGAGGGATACATGCATCCTAATGTTTATAGCAGCACTATCTACAATAGCCAAATTATGAAAACAGCCCAAGTTTCCATCTATTGACAAATGGATAAAGATGTGATAAAGATATATACACGCACAGGAATATTACTCCGGCCATAAAAAAGAATGAAATCTTGCCATCTGAGACATCATGGTTGGAGCTAGGAGTATTATGCTAGGCAAAGTAAGTCAGTCACAGAAAAACAAATACCATATGATTTCATTCATGTGGAATGTAATTAACAAAACAAATGGGCAAAGGGAAAAGAGAGAAGGGCAAACCAAGCAACAGACTCTTAACTATAGAGAACAAATCGATGGTGACCAGAAGGGAGGTGGGTGGGGGGAATGGGTGAAATAGGTGATGGGGATTAAGGAGGGCACTTGTGATGATCACGGGGTATTGTATGGAAGTGTGGGATCACAATATTGTACACCTGAAACTAATATTACACTGTATGCTAACTAGAATTTTTAAAAACTTACAAAATAATTAACCAACTTCTAGCCTACAAAGAGAAGTAAAAAATAATGCAAGCCTAAATAAAGGCAATAAATGCCCAAAAAGTTTACCTTAGGGGCTATTTAATGAAAATTCAATCTACCAAGTATCAGACATATCTGATCTGCTTTCTAATGAACATTTCTCATTAGAAGTCATAAGATGGAGGGGGCTGGGTGGCTCAGTGGGTTAAAGCCTCTGCCTTCAGCTCAGGTCATGATCCTGGGGTCCTGGGATGGAGCCCTGCATCGGGCTGTCTGCTCAACAGGGAGCTTGCTTCTCCCTCTCCCTCTGCCTGCCTCTTCCCCTACTTATTCTCCCTGTCTCTGTCAAATAAATAAAAACTTAAAAAAAAAAAAAAGAATTCGTAAGACAGTACAGGCAAGGCTTTTTCAGAAGGCAGAGACACTTACAGATTCTACCAAACACTCAGTGCAAGAAAACATGGCGCCCACAATGGCAAAATTTTTGGCGTAGGACATTCCTCTCTGTCCCATGTCTTTAAGAACTTCTTTTGCTGTCGGCGTACGGTAAGGATCCTTAGGGTCAAAGCCCACATTGGTATCAATGCCAGCAGTGAACACCCCAAAGGCACCTCCCAAGACAAATCCTAAAAACAAACACAGAAATGAAGATTTTTCTTTGGCATGTTTTCTGGGGTACTGTAACGAGGTCATCATACTCGAATAGCACATTCTGGATGGCCCCCAGCAAAGAGGAAACCCCTACCTACCCCTCCAACTCCACCTTAACACTCAGACCCTCCAGTTACCTGGTTTCCACATCACACAAGCCAGGAACTGTCTTGCTGACAGCTTCTCTATCTTCCTTTGGATTTCTTCCTTCTTTCTTTCTTTCTTTTTTTTTGGAAGATTTCATTTATTTATTTGAGAGAAAGACACAGACAGCGATAGGGAGCACGAGCATAGGAAGACAGGGAGAAGCAGGCTGCCTGCTGAGCGGGGAGCCCAATGCTGATTCCAGAACCCTGGGATCATGACCAGAGACAAAGGCAGATGCTTAACCGACTGAGCCACCCAGGTACCCCAGCCTCCTTTGATTTTCTTTTTCCTTTTTTTTTTGTTTTTGGCCTCTCATTTTCTGACATTCTTAAAGATTCAATCTTTAACCTTCTGCTCTCTGTCTATACTCATACATTCAGCTAGCAACTTTGCAAATCACTCCCTTGACGATGGTGACATTGACAAGTCATTTAGTGAGTAGTACCATGCGCCAGTTACTGATGCTTTATAGGCACAGCTTCTTTTATTCTTCACAATAGTCCTGTATTGTTGATACTATTAATGTCTCCATTTTGTAGCTGAAGCGGCTGAGGCTCAGGGAGGTCAAGTAACTTCCATAAGGTCACAAAGCTACCAAAAGGCAAACCACACACTGCTGTCCCCAACTTCCTGAGCCTGCTGGACATTTCCATTTACATGTCCTCTCATCACCTCAAGGTCAATATATGTTTAATGAAATCATGGGACCTTCCCTCCAGACCTTCTTACTTATGGCTCCTTCTTTTCAGTCACTCCAGCTCCACACTTCAAGGGCATTTCTGACAGCTGATTTGCTCCCCTCCTACAAACCTATGTTCACAAGTATCCTAGTCTAGGACCTTTACCACTTCCACTCTGGAGCATTACAAAGACTTATTCATCATTTCAACAAATAAGTAATTGACTTATTAGTGTCAGGCATAATGATGAACAAAGACCCAGCCCAGGCCTCACCGAGGTTCAGTTTAGCCAATTCCCTATACCATCTCCCTATCCACAGACTTTTCTTTCCCTCACCACACTCCATGCTGGATCATCACGTGCACCAATTACTGCCCTAATGCCTCAAGGCAAAAAGCCCAAATCCCCAACTCCACCCCCGATTTTAAAGGGCTACCCCCATTCTCTCAATCCTTCAAGATACAGGGGCAGTCTCACCTCCTGTAGCTTTCCCCAAACCAAAAAATCCCCTTTCCTTTCTACTATACTTCACATCTGCACTCACCATATTGTTTCTTGATTGTCTTTCATTCTCATTGAGATTTCAATTCATCTGCAAATGTGGCCAATATCTTTACAAGACGGACACCCTACATTCAAACATTTAAACTTCAAAGATTTAAAAAGGGGGATCAGGGGGTGCTCCAGACTTCTTTCCCCCTATGTTCACCGCCATCAGATCATACTGGCCACACTGACATTTGTTTTTCAAACCTGAAGCCGGTTCCTGGCAGACGTTTGCATCTGCTGTCCCCTGTGTCCCACTTTCCTGCCAGGCTCCTTCCCAACACTCTTGCTTCTGTATATATTAAAATTTTATCTTCATGAGAACCAGGCTCTGGTCTCTTACCTTGCCTCGCCACCGAGCACGTGATGGTTACTTGTAACAATTTGTTTGAAAGAATGCTTATTTAAAAGTGAATCAATGAATGAATGAAGTCGACCACTTTATAACCAACCTCCAGGCCCCGACCCATACAGTACCGACATTCTGATCCAATTTCCATAGGCGGAAACTAACCTCAGGGCCTAGAGAAGGGTTACTCGAGTTCACGCATCGAGGCAGGGGTGCAGTCGAGATCGAGGTCCACAGGCTCCTCGCCTCCCAGGCGCGTGGTCTTGGCAGAGGACCCAGCTGCCGTCCAAGCCCTCAGCCTCCCAACGCCCCCCACTCCCAGTCTTGCCTCACCTCCCACGCAGGCCAGCGCTGCCTTGAAGGCACAGCTTTCCATCGCCTTCTCGATCATTTTCTGTTCCTCACTCTTGGTCGGGCTCGGGATCCCGCCCAGGCTACTGGGCTCCAGGACCCGGGGCTGACGTTTGTCGCCCACCAGGTATTGCAGAAGAAGGCTGTACTGCAGCGGGGCTTCGGCGGAACCCGGCGCCTCAGGCGCGGAGCCCCCCGCGCTGGGCGCAGTTGCCGCCATGACTGCAGCTGCCGCAGAAACTCTCGCGTACTTCTTCCCGCAGCGATTCCGCAAGCCTCACGTTAGGGCTCTGCGCGCCTAGCCATCGTGCCGCAACGGCAGATTCGCCACAATGAGCAAGTCCAAGAAACTGCGGCAGCAAAGTCCGCTCATGCATCCGGCGAAAGAGGTCTCACGTTCCCTCAAAGCCTCTTGTGAATACTGAATCAGGCTTGGGTAGCATCAAGATTTAGTCACCAGAAAGCGCCGTCTTCTCCGGGGATGCGGTGCGGTGAGTACAGGGATTGGCAGGCCAGCCATTTCCCAGAAGGCTTTGCGCGGGCACTGCCCTCGCTGCCTCCTCCCGGCGCCTGACGGCGGGAGGCTGCGCGGAGCGGGAGCGCGTCTGCAGGGGTGCAGCGCTCCGGGGCTGCGGCAGGGGGCGCACGCGCCTCCCCGCGGACCTTCCAGCTTAAGCATTCCTTACAGAGGTCAGTGGTGGAAGGTGCTTTGTAAGTAAACGTGAAAGCATGGTTAGATGTACGCGGTATATGTTTTGTTTGACAATTACACCTTTGAGGGGTGCCTGGGTGGCTCAGTGGGTTAAGCCTATGCCTTCGGCTCAGGTCATGATCTCAGGGTCCTGCGATCAGGCTCTCTGCTCAGCAGGGAGCCTGCTTCCCCCTCTCCCTCTGCCTGCCTCTCTGCCTACTTGTGATCTCTCTCTCTATATCAAATAAATAAATAAAATCTTAAAAAAAAATACACCTTTGAGGAGAGACAAGGGGCCCAACAAATGAGTGAGCAAACGAGCGAAGCTACCCAAGTGTAGGAAAAGGCAGGGACGGTGTAGGAGGTGGAGCCGAATGGCCGGATGGAGAGCGCAAGGGCTGGGGCTGGTACTCCAGACTCTGCAGTCAGAGGGACTGGTGATGTGGGACTAGCATTGCCCTGGAAAGCCACGTTTATGTTATGTGAAATGCAAGTGTTCACCAGCTTGCAGACTCAGAACCTAAAGGTAAACTGTAAGACAGTACTCTGTATGAACCCAGAGAGACATCTGCATAGTTTTAAAAGGAGATCCCAAGCTTTTGCATTGCTCCAGACTAGCAATGTATTTGGGTGTTTTAGCTAAAAAACAACATAAATGGAAACAGGTGGTGAGCCTAGCCAGTACCGAATTCTCTGTGCCTGCCAGCACTGTTCGCACCAAGGCCCTGAATGAGCTGGTGCCAAGGTCCCTGGGACTTCCCAGTTGCTAAATCTAATTCAGACCTCATTTAACTAGACTTCTCCACTGCGTTTGACACTGTTGGCTCCTTCCTCCTTGTCTAAAGTTTCTTCATGGGCGCCTGGGTGGCTCAGTGGGTTAAGCCGCTGCCTTCAGCTCAGGTCATGATCTCAGGGTCCTGGGATCGAGTCCCGCATCGGGCTCTCTGCTCGGCAGGGAGCCTGCTTCCCTTCCTCTCTCTCTGCCTGCCTCTCTGCCTACTTGTGATCTCTGTCTGTCAAATAAATAAATAAAAAAAAAATCTTTAAAGTTTCTTCATATTTTTGGTGGAGTGTCTCCTACTCTTGCCACAGCTAGGTACCCTGTCTCCTTTGCAGGCACCTCTGCATGGCCTTTTCTTGTTGGTCCTCTCAGGGCTTCACCCTGTACTCTCTTCTCACACAGCTCATTCTACCTGAGCAACTCATCCTCGTGGCTTCTACTCCATCTCCAATGCAGTAACGATCTGAAATCTTTCTCTCCAGCTCAGACCTTTCTCATAAACACAAGAACCAGACGTTTTCCATAAGCACCTCTAACTCAACACACCCTCCCAACCACCCTTCCTTTCCTTTCAGACGAATGAGGGACCCAGGGCTCTGATTTATGCCAAGGTCTTAAGAACCCCAGTTGGATCTGAGAGAAAGTAGGACATGCCCCCACCCCCGCAAGTCCCAGGTAGGGTGGCCTTGGAAAGCAAGGATTGGTCTGAATAATGAACACATGGAACTACTTAGAGGCAATAATCAATCCTCAAAGGAAGGTTCTGCTTTAGAGTTCAGATGAGATCCAGGTCAGCACATGAAGAAATTCCACATGACCAAGGTCTATGAAGGAGGGAGCCTTTTGTAGAACATCCTTGAATCCTTGGCCTGGATCATAGATGGAGAGAGAACAGTTACAGACACTGGTCTGGTATCTCTCTCCACCCACCAGTTCCCTCCCTAAGTGGAATGGGTTTCACCTGATGGAAAACTTGAACCTCTTCAAGCATGTTCTGAAAGTGAGAAGTGGTTTCCCGTGTCTGTTTCCCTGGACTAAACTTTGCCCAGTAGTCTAGGGACTCTCTCTGGCCCTGGAGTCCAAGAGACTGATGTTACAGTTTGGTTTCCCACCCCAGGTTGTCTGTCCTGGCTCCAAGGCTATGGGGAGAGCATCCCAGTGGGTCACGGAGAACAAGGGACAGTTAAAGATAATTAGAATTAGATTCGGGGCAACTGAGTGGCTCAGGTGGCTAAGCCTCTGCCTTTGGCTCAGGTCATGATCTCCAGGTCCTGGGATAGAGCCCTATGTCGGGCTCTCTGCTCAGCAGGGAGCCTGCTTCTCCCTCTCCCTCTGCCTCTCCCACTGCTTGTGCTCTCTCTGTCTCTGTGTATCTCTCCCAAATGAATAATAATAAAAAAGATGAATTAGATTCGTGGGGAAGGTTGTAGGAAGTACAACACTCTGAAGGGAGGACTCATCACTTGAAGGACATCAGAGGGTAGGTGCTGAATGGGACGGGATCTGATCATATCAAATCCCAGGTGTTTTTGCAAAGTTCACACATTTTTCTCCAAATCCTAAGTTATTTTGCTGGCTTGTTGCTTGAAGATACTTAATCTATATAGTAATAGTTTTCAGTGTCTCAGATAAAGTTGTGATTGAAAATCATTTATACTGGAAACGGTTTCTATCGAATCACTTGGATTTTCAAAAGGGAGTTAAGTCACCCCACTTCTTGGAAGCAGTGGTCAAGTTGTGTCTGATGAGGAACCTCCGTCTGTCCACCCCTCTAAGAGAAGCAGGATGAGTTCTCTACTGTTTGGACTTTTTTTTTTTTTAATTTTTAAAGACTTTATTTATTTATTTGACAGATAGAGATCACAGTAGGCAGAGAGGCAGGCAGAGAGAGAGAGAGAGGAAGAAGCAGGCTCCTGCTTGGCTCGATCCCAGAACCCTGAGATCATGACCTAGAGCCGAAGGCAGAGGCTTAACCCTCTGAGCCACCCAGGTGCCCCTCTACTGTTTGGACTTTTGAAGCAAAAGGAACAAAATAAACCTTTCTAGAAGAGGGCTGAAAAAGCAATGTAGTTAATTTGGTTGTTAATAAACAATCACTGCTTTATTACTGAGGGCAGAAAATTGAGACTTCTGAAAAACTTCCTTTACTGATCCTTATCTGTTGAAGTTCTAAAAGTTAGAAATAACAAGCAAAAAAGGAGTCAACTAATTAACTTCTGGCCTAGCAGATAGGAAAGAACCTCCTCTGAGGCTTTTTCTAAGGATTTTCAGGATTTTTTTCAGGATTTTCTAAGCCACAGAGTAAATATTACCTTCATTGTTAAGCGACAGAAACCAAAGCTCCCACCAAAAGAGAGGGATTTATTAGAAGTATAATGGGGTGGGGGTGCCTGGCTGGCTCAGTCAGCAGAGCATATGACTCTTGATCTTGGCGTTGCAAGTTTGAGCCCCACATTGGGGGTAGAGATTACTTTATTATTTTTTTTAAAGATTTTATTTATTTATTTGACAGAGATCATAACCAGGCAGAGAAGCAGGCAGAGAGAGGAGGAGAGATTACTTTAAAAAAATTTTTTTAAAGGACAAATTATTTGTTTAAAAAAAAATAAAATAAAGGCCATCTGGGTGGCTCAGTTGGTTGAGCATCTGTCTTTGGCTCAGGTCATGATCCAGGGTCTGGGGATCGAGCCCCACATTGGGTTCCCTGATCAATGTGGAGCCTGCTTCTTCTGCCTCTGTCTGCTGCTCCCCCTGCTTATATTCTCTCTGTATCAATTAAATAAAATCAAGAAGGAGGGAAAGAAAGAAAGAGAAAGAAGTGAAGAGAAGGAAGGAAGGGAGAAATGCTATGGAATGGTCTACGGCTGGCATTTCTTCTCAGCTTTGCGATCAGTGACATCACGTTGGTGGCTTGACGTTGGCCATGATGGGAATGTTCACATCACAGAAATGAGTACATGCTGTAAATCAGAGCTTTTTTGTTGTTATTACTGTTCATACCTGCCAGCATAGCACTCACGACAAGCAAGCTTTCGAAACTGAGAACACCTTCCCCTTTCTGATGAAACCAGTAACTGGGAGATCATAGGGCAGAAAAGTAAGACATGAACTGCTGGAAATATGCAGGGAAGTCCCAGGAAATGGTGAATGTTCCTGACTGATAATTAAAAAGAGAGGGGTTCTGGGGCGCCCGGCTGGCTCAGTTTGTAGAGGATATGACTCTTGATCTCAGGGTTGTGAGTTTGAGCCCCATGTTGAGTGTAGAGATTTCTAATAATAATAAAAAAGAGGATGGGTGTTTCTTATTTCCATGAATGTAACACCATGTTTAGTATCATTTGGGATCCCTTGTGTGGACAGAACGTGGCTGAGGAACTCTTCTGGGGTTTTTATTTTTATTGTTTTTAAAGATTTTATTTATTTAAGGGCACAGGGGTGACTCAGCCAGTTAAGCGTCTGCCGTTGGCTCAGATCCTGGTATTGAGTCCCGCATCAGGCTCCTTGCCCAGGGAAGGCAAGTAGAGTCCTGATTATTTGTTAGAACTGCTTCACAGCTCATCGCCTGTCACTCAGGAGCACTGTGGTCTGCAAGGAACACCGGCAGGAAGGCTTCTGATCAGACAGCAGAGTAAGGGCCAAATGTTGAATGAATTGCTCAGACATGGGAACCTCCCATGGACAAGAAGAGTTGGTTGGACTGGAAGCAGGTCCAGGGCTCAGAATGCTGAGGCCAGCCTGGGTTTTAGAGACAAGCTTCCATCCCTACCCAGAAGAGACTTTGGCCCCAGGTAGGCTCTCTGAGGTCTCAGGAGGTAGGAAAGGCTCTTGCCTGTGAACTGGGAGCAGAAGCCCCGTGGGAGACCTCAGAAAGCACAGAAGAGCCTGTACCTACGGGGGAGTTAGGGGAAAAAAAAATTATTTAAAAGAGAGAGAGAGAGCGAGCTTGAGA